AGGTAAACTTAGCGTATTACAGAGGTAAACTATTCTTTTTAGCCTCTTTTAGGCTAGACTAAAGCGCTAAAGTAATAAAATAGCTATATACGTCTACTATAGAGTTACGTATAGTCTTCTTAAACTTCTTAGCTTTCTCTAGCGTAATCTTTCTATAAATAGTTCTATTCTTAGACTTAGTACTCTAAAAGAGTAGCCTCTACGTATAGTAGCTAATTTTTAGGTAATACGCGTCTATCTAGAGTAGACCTAAGTATACCTAATACTTATAGACCTCTATAATAATATATAGAATATTCTAAGTCTCTTATTTTCTATAAGAATCTACTACTTTTATAGTTACTTTAATAGTGCTATAAATCTTTAATTCTTTACTATTTACTCTATCTACTAATAGCTTAGGTAGTAAGTAAACTAGTAAGCTTTACTCTATAGTAAGTAACGCTAAAATAAAGTTTAACTAGAAACCTCTATCTACTAGAGCCTTAATAGGCTCTAATTAGCTAAGTAATACTTTTACTATTAGTAGCTTTACTAGCTTAGAGTAAAGCGCGTTATAAAGAAGTTCTAAATTCTAGAATACTAGGTCTAGAGTAATATAGGCAGCTAAGAAGAACTCTAGCTTCTCTACCTACTATCTTTTTCTAATTCTTAACTAAATAAGCTCTTAGAGTCTTCTTTAGACTTTAGATAGTTTCTTTAAAAGTATCTAGTCTTATTATATCTCTAATAAGTTATATTAAAGTTTTTTAGACTATTTTAGTCTAATTTAGCTAGTTATAAGTTAGATTTTACTAAACTAGCTTTTTTAGTTTTTTTTTAGGTCTAAAAAGGCTCTAAAAAAGAGTTCTAGGCCTAATAGCTATAAGACTTCTTCTTATAAGCTAGATACTTTAAAAGCGTAGTAGTGCGCTTTATCTTACTCTAATAGTAGTAAGCTAAGGTATTAAGCTTAAAGACTATATTATAGTCTTTTTAGTCTTAAAGTAGAAGTTCTTTCTAAATATTAAAAAGAAGAGCGCTTATAAAGTCTATATAGCGCTACTCTTTTAGGTAGTTACTTAGTTTACTCTAAAGTATATTAAGGTAGGCTAAGAAAGAGTTAGAATTTTAATCTAGCCTTTATTTAGCCTACTTAAGTCTATTATAAGCTATAAGGTGTTATAATAACTTAGAACTAAGTGTATTAAGTATAACTATCTTAAGTTTCTTTTAGATAGGCGTCTAAGACGCCTTAAGCCTTATATAGTTTTAGAAGTAAGCGTTCTAAGTAGAGTAAGTAGTTTTATTAAGAAACCTTATAGCAAAATCTACCTTTTAAGTACCTAATAGAAAAGTAAAGAGTACTTCTCTAAAGATAGCCTTATAATTACGTACCTAGTAGTTATACTATAAGTAATTACGCGTAGTAAATATCTCTAGGTTCTTAGAGTATAGAGCTTCTAGGTTTAACTAAGGCTTACCTCTTTAAGTTAAAGAGTAGTAGGTAATATTCTTATTAAGAGCTAATTAGTTATCTATAAGTATCTTACGCTTTAGTTCTCTAAGATAGACTATATTTTAATAAGTCTACTCTAATTATTTCTACTTACGTAACTTCTTAAGTTCGCAGGTTAGAGTAGCCTATTTATTTTTACCTTTAGTAATAGTAGACTATAAGAGCCTAGTTAGCTCTAAAATAGACCTAATTAGCGCGTTACTATCTCTAATAATTAAGACTAAGTTAGTAACGCCTAAGAAGGCCTCTAATAGGTCTATAAGTTTTTTAGTAGATAGTATTACTACCTCTAAAAATAGAGAAGCTAATTTCTTCTAGTTATTATCTATTGCGTATAAGAATAAAGTAGCTTACTTACTACTATGTTATATTACGCTAAAGAAACCTACTTTAGAGCTTATTGCGTCTAAACAGCGTATATAAAAGTATTATAGAAGTAAGTAATTTAAATATTAAATAATAGAGTTAGCTAAATACTAGATATATAATATTAAACTATAATTAGGTGTATTATTCTAAAAAGACTAGAGACAAATCGCTACTAAGCTACAATAGTAATTCTAAGGTATTTATAGCTAGTGCTAAGTTAGCCTAGACTCTTTAGAGCTAGGTTCTAATAGCTTCTAGAATAATAACTTTAAGAGAACTTATAGAGTAACGCGTTTAAGAGAAAAATAATTAATTAATAATAAGAGGCTTAATTAAGCTTTAGTAAGTAAGGTAATATAACTAGTAATAAGATTAGCTTTAGACTTACTAACGCTAGAAGAACTTATAAAAAAAGTATAGTAAGAATATAGTTAAAAGCTTATTTAATATACTAGTGTAGCTTTTAGTATTAGATTTAAGCTACTATTTATATCTTTAATAAGTCTTTAGATTTCTAATTTTACTATAAGCTATAAAATAAGAATAAGAATAAGAATAAGAATTTTATAAGCTAAGATTTTAGCATTTTATTACTTTATAATCTATAGCTTAGTTAGTTATAAGCTATTAAAAATATATAATTATATTATAATTCTTTCTACTATAATATAAGTAGACGTTAGTATTTATAGAATAGTTACTTTACTACTCTAAATTTAAAAAGCTTTAACTACTACGCTAGAAGTAGTAGCACTAAGAACCTAAGCCTTAGTCTACCTAACGCCTATACCTCTAAACGTAAGATTTTAATCTTTTTAAAATATATCTTTTTATATACTAGTAATAGACCTTACTCTTTTTAGACTAGCTTCTACTATAGAATTATTAGTTTACTAATAAATACTTTTTACTTTTTATAAGCTTACTATAAAGTTTATATTAATTACTTTTTACGCTATTACTTTTATCTACTAAACTTATTTCTTAATATATATAATATTAAACTAGATATAAGAGCTAGAGTTAAAGTATAAATTAAGAATTTTAGTATAGTAAAAAAGCGTTTTTTAGAGTATAAAGAAAATAATAAGTAATATATTATTATAATTATAAAGAATAATATTACTAATAATATAAAAGTTAAATTAGAGAGCTTAATAACTTTTAGTAGTCTAGTTAAAAAATATAAATAATAAGCTATTAATACTAACTATCTATACTAACGCGTAGTTAGTAAGACTAGTAAGTATTATAAAAGAAAAGCTTATTTTATATAGAATAAGTCTTAGAGTTATAGTACGTAATATACTAAGACTTAAGTAGATTTCTAAAAGTACACTTATAGCTTTTAAAGAAGTAGTTTTAATAATAAAAAAGTTTTTAAGCTTAATTAAGAAGCTTTAGATAAGAAAAAAAAAAAAAAAAAAGTAAGTAAGAGCTATATAAGAAAGATATATAATACTACTTAGTAAAGATTTATACTATTAGAGTTTTAAAAATACTTAGTTACTTTATATACTATAGTTATTAATAAAAACTTAAATAAAATATATAGCTTTACTATTCTTTAAAAGCTTTAACTTTACTTATACTTAGTAGACTTAATTAAAGTCTATATATTTTATATTACGCTTTTAGTAAACACTAGTAGAGAGAAATTATTAGATTTTAGCTACTTTATATACCTAATTCTTCTTCTTAAATCTATAATCTTCTTAATATATATTATTAAAGATAACATAGACCTATTACTATAGGAAATTACTATCTAGGCTCTAGCCTCTCTTACCTAAGCTAGATTTAAAGAAAAGAAATTATATTATAATAAGCTAGAAAAGGCTCTTAAGTAGGTTATTAGTAATAACGCTACTACACCTTATATCTATAAGATTATAGAAATCTTACTTAACTATAGAGTATTAGCTAATATAATAGATAAGAGTAGGTATACTAGCCTTTATATAGTAGCTTAAACGCAAGATATTTATTTAGCTATAGTTCTACTTTAGTGTAGCGCATAGCTTAACGTATCTTATTAAGTAATATTTATAGCTAAAGCAAATTATACCTCTCTTAGATACGCACTCTAGTTTAGAAATACTAAAAGAATAGAGTACGCCTTTAACTTAGACTATAGTCTAGTTCTAGGTTAGGCTAGGTTTTTAAGATAGTACTTTAATATATAGTATAATTATAATAGCTTTAATATTATTTACTAGAGTACTATTTAGTATATTACTATAGTACTATAGTTACTAGTAAAGCTAATAATTTAGAGAGATACTATTAGTTACTAAAAGACGCTAGTAACTTCTAAGAGAACGTTTCTTAGTTATAATAAGTTAAAGTTTTTAAGTGTAATAGTATATAAAGCTTCTATATACTACTAATATTCTTCTCTCTTCTATATAACTCTAATACTCTATAATAGTAACTTTTATAATACTAACCTATATAACTATAAGAAAAATTAACTTTAGTATAATTACGTCTAAGCTAGTACTTATAAGGTAGAAAGCTAACAACGTCTAGCTTAAGATAATAATAATTCTAGCTACTAACCTAGTAACTTTAAAGAAAAGCAGACTTTAGCGTTATAACTATAGAATCTAGTACTAGAAAGGTGTTTATAGTATATAAAAGAAACGCTCTAGTTATTATATAATGCTAATAGCTAAAGTTTAAAAGCTAAGTTAAAAGATAGAGAGAGACGCTAAGATTATAGTAATTATAACACTGCGTAATAATGTTTTTACGTTAGTACCTCTATCTCTATAAAATGTTAACTATTTTCTTACACTTAAGAACTTAGAAGAAGAGATCTTACTAGCTTTGCGCAAGCTATATAGTATTAAATAGAATTAGCAAATTATTATTAAAGATAGATTGCGCAGTGTAAGTTAGGTAGCGTAGCTAAAAGCGGTAAGGCAGCGACTATAGACTAGCCTCTAGCGAAATTAATAAGGTGCATTGAAAAATCCTTGAAGACTTTGTGTGGTGGTTCGGAAACGCGCTATCGCTTCGACAGCTCTTGTCAGCAGGCGCAAACATCAACGACCAGTCGGTGGCCAGTCGGAACACACTACTCCACGATGCAGTCACAAGCTTCGATCTCTTAGGCTGGCATATACCGATGCTGTTAGCGCATGGAGCCGACACGGAACTGAAAGATGAGGACGCAAATACACCGCTTCATCTCGCTATCTCGCTGAATCAAATATTCGCTGTCATTGCACTCTTAGATGCGGGAGCCAACGTCGAAGCCATCGGGAAAGCTGGCACGAAGCCGCTAGCCATGGCGCTTGAAGGCGGCGACTACAGCATCATCACTCTACTCCATGAACGGGGTGCAGACGTACACTCTCGTGCTAACGGCATGACATGCGCGTTATTTTATGCAGTCAAAATGGGCTACGTCGATATAGTGAGCATACTCCTTGAAGACTACGGAGCAGGAGAGGACATCCATCGCACTGATCTCACGGGCCGGGGTATTCTACACGTGCTTGTGCACACACATGTCGATCACATGCACGATCTACTCGACAAATTGATTGAAGAAGGCGCAGACGTCAATGCGGAGGACTACTCTGAATCGACGCCGCTACACGAGGCCGCGAAGCTGGGGAGTAGTGTAATGGTCATTGGACTGCTGGCATATGGGGCTACGATCAATACACAGGATCGTCAGGGCAAGACGCCGTTGGATCTTGCGCAGGCGAAGAAGCATCGTGAAGTTGTGGAGTACTTGGGTGGGACAATGAAGAAGAAGGGTTGGTTTCGCCGGAGTTAGGATTTGCTTTCTACGCGCATTAATGACCTCCTTCCGCATCGCAATAATTTTGTAGTTCAACACGCCTATCAGAGATTGCTCTTTAGAATTGTGCCATCACCTCATACAAGGAAGAAACTAAACAGGTCTAGAGCCTACATTAACACTAAGCCATCTATCTTGTAGGGTTTTAAGTTGATGTAGGCCGCAGGCCTGTTTAGTTTTTTTCTTGGTTGGCGTGCCATGAATGACTGACCATTCCTCCAGCGAACAGTCCAGTACCCGCGACAATCTCCATCTGCGGCCTCACCGAGCTTACCAAAGGCGACGATGTCCGTGGACAAGACATACGCAAAAGCGCGTTGCGCAGACCTTTTACTTGGCAACGGGGAGGTTCTCGGTCTTGGTGAACGTCACACAACCGCTGAACAAGTGCGAGCTGCGCTCGAAAAGCATGAAGTTGATCTGGAGGGCTATGCTTGGTACATTGAACTTCGAGAGCACAAACCGATACTAACAACGGGCTGGGGTCTGGGTATCGAGCGCTTTCTGGCTTGGGCGTTCCGCCATGACGATATCCGGGACATGACGATCGTGCCGAGGATGAAAGGATTTAGGTTTGCGCCTTGAGTTCGTCGTCGCTCAAGCCGCTGCGCCAGACCCTAGACTGCGAACCTGTCTCGCGATACAGTTTCTCTTCATCTCGAATTGCACCATGACATTACATTGGCTTACAACAGCTGTCGCTGCCGCATAGATGCTGCTGCCTTGGGTACTAGTGGTTAGGTTGTAGATGGAATAATTGAACAATTGATTTGTCGAACTATCAGCGAATTCACGACCTGTCTCCTGGAAGTGCGCATGTTCGCGGGCGTGGGTGAGGAACTTGAATGCCTCCTCATCCCGCCCATCGGAAGAAAAGCGTTGTACAGTAATGCCAGTGGCTTGATTGGTGCGCGTGTTTAGCAAAGTGGAGCTATCTCCACACCCCGCAACTCGAACACCGGCGCTTCTCGTCACTCCCGACAACGCTGATACTGCGCGCAGCTGCCTTTTGGCTGTTCTTTTGAAGGCATCGGCTAGCTTTCTTAGAGCTCACAAGCAACGTTGTAACGTACGGACTCGTGCCTGGCATCTACATGCTGATAGCGATTGGCCTGTACAGGCCCAAAGCAACATGGAAAGAACGCGATAGCCAAGCACGGCTAACACCCCATGCTCATCCATGCTCGATAAGCACGTACTCGACGAGTCGCCCGTATAACACCATGTCTAATCAGTCGGGCTACAGACCGGGCCGGTGCAATGCTTATCTGGAGCAAACATGGGGCATCATCTCCCAATCACCTTGCCGGCCGATAGTCTCTAGCATGCAAGAGTTCTACATAAAATAGAAGCGTATCATCAATGGTGTTCAGCAAGAGCTCTGTGATGGATTACTCGCAGACTAAAGACACCAAAGACGCCAAAGTGAAGGACACGGAGAATGACGGTGGTGAGGACATCGCGATCGGTTCGCAGGAAGAAGTTACCGATTACGACTTCCTGCGATCTTGGAAATGGTCGACTTTATACCGGAGCGTGCTGTTCCAGATGGTGATGTTCGGAGCGTAAGTAACCCTCTCAGAGACTACCATCCGGATGCTGAACATGACCAAGGCTTTCGTTGGTTGGCCCAGCCATGGGTGATGCTATATCCAATCTAGGAGGAGGCGGTCTGTCTACGCCATGGCTAGCGAATCTTGCAAATTCGTTGAGTTACGCCATGAGCTTCATCAGCACTATCTTCGGAGGCCCCATCATCAACAGGATAGGCATCAAATGGGCGTGCTTCATTGCGGCTCTCACAATGCCCCTCCAAGGATCTGCGTACTATGTGAACGCTAGATACGGCGTCGACTGGTATCTCCTAGCATCCAATGTACGATCATCACTCATCCATACAAGGGTAACATACTGATAGGGCCAGGTTATCAACGGTCTAGCGGGCGGGCTTCTTTACGTCAGTGAAACGACAGCCATGTTATGCTACCCAAGGCCAGAAGAGAAGGGGTTATACCTTGGTAAGCATCTGCGTGCGACCTGAAGTATGATCACTTCATTAACCTCTGACAGGCATCTGGTCGGCTATGCGAAGCTCCGGAAGCTTGATCGGTGGCGCGATAAACTTTTCGACGAATTCAGACAGAGCCTCTGCTGGAGGCATTGCATGGGCGACATATCTGGTCTTTGTTGGATTCGGTGCGTGACGGATATCTAGGCGTCTGTTCTGAGTGCACAATTGCTGATCAATAGCAGAATGTACTGGAGTTCTTTGGGCACTGTCATTGTCCCCCACACCACGAGTACGTCGTCGCGATGGCAGCAAAGTCCCCATGTCGGGAAGGGTCACTTGGACGCAAGAATTCGTTGCTCTGTGGAGGTATCTTCAAAGCAGCAAGGTCTGGCTGATCTTCCTGCCCTCATTCTATTCTTTCTTCTACGGAGGGACGATGGGCACCTACCTCTCGCTACACTTCTCGGTCCGCGCACGCGCCCTTTCGTCTTTTCTTCTCCGTAAGTAAGGAATCTGAGAACCGCCGACTACATGCTGACCAGTACAGCCGCCATCACCATTCCGTCGGTTGTTATATTCGGCAAACTTCTAGACAGCCAGCGGTGGGCCCAACGACCCAAGGCATGGGTTGCATTCTCGCTGTGGATTCTGCCACAAACTGGTTGTTTCATCTGGGTCGCTTTGGAGTACCACTACCTCGGCAATAAAACAGCGCTGGATTACGGATCGTGAGTTATCCCGCAGAGAGACAGGCCACCGTGCGACTGAGACTGATTTCAACAACAGCGAAACTGGCAGATGGGCAAGGGCATATGTGCCGTACCTTATCATCTTCGCGAGCGGCTACTGGACGCAATTGACACTATACTGGATTCTCGGCACATTCTCCAACGACATGGGTGATTCTTCTCGGGTGGCAGGCTTGTTTCGCGCGTTTGAGACGGCGGGCCAGGCAGTTTCATATGGTCTGAGCTCTGCGAGTGGCATCGCTCCTGTGGTTCCGATCTATGTGAACTGTGGTTTGCTGGTTCTCACTGTGCCTAGTATGGTCATGTTGATCACTAGGATGCCCAGGAGGCCGTTGAGTAACGTCACCACTGAATGAAGTGTCGTGCGTGATGGCTCTCAACAGAAGGGTTGCAGACGCGTGTGACGCGAGCTGGAATTTGGGAAAGCGGGCGTCTACAGGGCCTCGCCGTAGATAGCAATTATTGAGTTGGTCAAAACATCTATCATGACACAGATTTGCCCTCACTGAAAAATTGTATTCTGCTAATTGAACTGTTTTCCTGTATCTGTTCGCATCACTCCTTCTTTAGCACGCGAGCAGCCATTGCTTACGGATATTGTCCAGTAGAATTGCTCGATCATCTCGCATCTGATGCAGCGACGTTGGCGAACGATAAGATCGGAGGGCTTTCTCAACACTGCAAATGCTACCACACGGAATGATAGCTTCTAGAACCGGATTGCGCTGCTCTGAACGGGCGTTTGCTTGCTGGGCGGCAAGGTCAACTGGGTCCTTATCGGTGACCGGACCGGTCGCCGGCCCGGTCGCAATTGCTTACTGATCACCGCCTTGCGCAGCCGCTTGAAGCCAAGCACCAACGCTCTGGGCTTACGCATCCAATCTGTCTGACTAAAGTACGCAAGTTCACGGGTTGGGTACAGCAGAAGCGAACCTGCCCTGTGAATGACTAAGCGTGAGTACCTACATAGCCCACCTTGCACTTAGGATACTCCCGTAGAACTACCACCAATACAAGCCGATGATTCACATCCTACATCTCCAACATGTCTTTTCCTAGCCCCAGCGTCAAACCTTTCCCGGTGGCGGATGGTGTCCCCTCCTATTGGAGAAAACAAGTCGGGCCCATCGACAACCATCGCAGCACTGAACATCTTCCCACGCAGGTCGATGTTGTAATCGTTGGCGCGGGGTATACTGGGGCATCGACCGTGCATCACATAGTCGAAGAGTGTGTACGTCGCGACCGCCCTATACCATCAATACTCATCCTTGAGGCACGCGAGGCCTGCTCTGGCGCTACTGGACGTAACGGTACATACCATATGCCCTTGAGATTCCATTTCAATGTCGCACGTACTAAGTCTGAGAATCTAGGCGGTCATTTAAAACCAGATCCTTTGTCAAGAGCGGCCAGCGTACTGGAGACACATGGGAAAGCGGTCGCGGAGCACGTGGCTACATTCGAAGCCCGCCAGGTCGACGCGATCAAAGAACTTGTTCGGCGTGAAGATTGTGACTGCGACTTCGAAGAGACTAGGGTCACCGATGTCTGCTGTTACGAAGCCGGTCGCGATAAGATCAAAGCTGACATTGCGAAAATCGCTAAAGCGGGTATCTCAACTGCGAAAGGGATAGATTTTACTTCAGGCAGCGAAGCAGAGGAGGTATGTAGTGTTGGAAGATGAACATCTTGATGTGATTCGTTGTATTGTCTCTTTGGAGAGGTCTGACAAAGCCCATAGGTTTCCGGCGTATGGGGTGCAAAGTCTTGCCATACATATAGTGCCGCTCGTCTGTGGCCCTACCGACTCGTTGCGCACTTGCTAGAGAAAGCGGTATCTATGGGTGTCAACTTGCAAACACATACCTCAGTGACATCCGTCTCGGCAGCCGATGGGTGCACAAAAGATCATCCTTGGGTCGTGCATACACCGCGCGGCTCCGTCAATACCAGCAATCTCGTTTATGCTACGAACGGTTACACGTCTGCTCTCGTACCGGAGATGAAAGACAAAGTCGTCCCAGTGAGAGGCATAGTAGCGCGCTTGGCGGGCGAGAATGCACCAAGAATGACTGATAGCTACATGATGCGGTTTTCCGACTATGAGTACGACTACATGATTCCTCGACCTGACGGTAGTATCATCGTTGGGGGCGGAAGACGCGACTACTACAAAGACTTGGACGAATGGTTTGATGTATCCGACGACAGCAGACTGATGGATGGTGCGCGGCATTACTTTGACGGTTACATGCAACGGCATTTCCGCGGGTGGGAGAACAGTGGTGCACACACCGAAGAGCTCTGGACCGGTAGTAAGTGTCATGTCTGCACCAACGCCTATGATCAAATGTTTCAGAGCTGACTCGTCTTCTTCCGTGCTAGTTATGGGCTATTCCAACGACGGTTTCCCTTACGTTGGGCCAGTTTGCGGAAAGCCCGGCCAATACATGTGCGCAGGGTTCAGCGGGCATGGTATGCCGCAGATCTTCTTCTGTGCAAAAGCCATTGCTTCCATGGTCATCACGGGCGATGCAGAAGATGTGGATCTTCCTGTGCCGTACCGCATCACCAGGAGTAGATGGTACCAGCAGAAAGAACATGTGTCTCTCAAGATGTGGCAACAGATAGCGGGAAGCCAGCCTGCTCAAGCACGGTTGTGACCATGAGATAAGACGAGTTGGGACCTGAATCGTCCACTCTTGCAATGCGATGATTCATCCACCAACTTTTACACGCACTCTGTTGGCGAAAAGAGTTAAATTGATGCGCTTCATCGCTCATACATTGGCGATACTAGCCTGTGCAAAACGTCACTTCGGTAACCATGAAAGGCTCTCAAAGAACTCCCTCTCTGCGTTACCATGGTCACCAAAGTCCGAGGTGAAGAATGCCTCGCTTCCATCCGAGTTGAGTAGGTCAAAATCGAACGGATAGCCATCAAGGCTTGCGTAGCTTGGCATGCTATCCACTGTTGCATCGACTCTGTTTGGTGTCATCCTTGGACCTTGCGCTGTTGCTGCCTGTACATTTGCATGTCCGGATGCTGAAGGCCCAAAACGAGGGACGGTGGACTTTTCTGCTTTCTTATACCAGTTAAGAAGACCGTTGTAGCCCTCTTCAGCTGCATCATTTGCTTCCGTGACCGCAGGTTGACTGGGTAATGGATTGAAAACGTGAAGTCGATGCAGCGCAGCTTCCAGTGTCTCCAGGAGCGACACTTCTGAACGCGCGGAATCGCCCGCCGAAGCCATTTCTCTGATCGCTTGAAGACCTACTTGTAGGGTGTTCGCGAACTCATTTGTACGGTAGCAGATGCTATAGGCGATCAAGACCAGCAGGGATGCGCGACAGGAACTGTACTCGGCATATGACGACTTTGCAAGGCCCATGTCGCCCGTTTGCATGATTTGACATGTGCTGATAACTTCCTTCGCGGCCGCAACGCAGTCCTGGACCAAGAAGTCCCACTGTGAGTGGGACTCGGATGCCTTTCTCCGGCGTACCTCTGGGGATGCGGCATTGGCATCCTTGGAATGTGAACTCGTCCGCGCGTGACGGTGCGCGAGGATGAAAGGTCGTCCGATAAACATGTGCAATAGGCAGCACTCTAGTCGAGAATGGATTGATGCGCGGGATTTTGGTAACTCTGCTTCGTGGTTCGCAGTTGGCGATAATGCACCCCCTGGAGGCGACCAGGGCCCTCGTAGGTTCGCCTTCATGTGCTTGATACGGTCCAAAATCACCCCGACTTCAGCGTTGGCACATGTTCGGAGACGCGATCTAGCAAGACATAGTCAGTTTGTTGTCTTCTATTTCCGTGTCTAGAGGAAGTCTTGGTCTAGACTTACATTTCGTGGTGGAATGCTTCAGCCTGCCTGGTGAGCTCGATCGATTCCAGAAGACCTTGAGGATCGAAACGGTCATCATTCATGAGGTGTGCTTCAGATCTCTGAGGCAGATCTGCATCGATGTCGGATCGTACTATGGATGTTGGGCGGCCGTGGTATATACCGATTTTTCTAGTAGGTCAGATTCGTGAGCAAGAGGACGAGGTGGTGTCGGAGAGTCAAGAACCAACAAACCTTTCCATGCAGTACGCTGTCCACCAAATGCGACGCCTGATTTCTTTGGTCCTTGTGTCGAGGACGTTGCGCGAGACCTTTCGGTGCATTCCGTTCTGTATGGCTACCTTGATAGCCAAGTTTAGATAGATGTAACTCAGCCCAGATGCATCAATGGGCAAGGAATATAGTCCGAGAAGCAAAAGTGCCTGGACGCTGAGCAGCGAGCCAGCGTGGATGACTTCCGAAAGAAGCTTTGCTACTTGACGGTAAAAGCCGGATCCAATCTCGAGTTCCCAACTACTCTGAACTTCGGAGTCCGTTGCGATACCCGTACTGTAGGTCTTGTGGCGATCGGGCGATTCTAGATGGACGTATTGGGTTCCGACTGCCAGCACCATCAATACTACACATATTGCAGTAACATCTTTGGAGCGTAATTGGACGGAGTCGGTGTATATGTTGTCTAGGAAGTCGTCAAACCAGCATCGGTCTACATAGTAGTAGACGCTGGTGGCATGCTTGAAGAAGACTTTGGTCAAGAAAGTGGCAACCGGACGGGGTGGCACAACAGCAAGTATGTCCGAGATGGAAGTCGAGGCTGGATCTGCCTCGCCGACGCGGATGAAATCTGGTACCCGCGTTTCGTTTTCTGAACTCTGACAGAGATGGTCAGCAAACAGGAATAGACTAGGCTAGCAGTACGTACCTGCACATTGGCTTTGGCCATAAGATCGTCTATGTTGCGTTTGATGTGCATGGAAAAGTTCCAATGAGAGAACTCGCCTGAGTAATCTGCACAGCGACAAAAGCTCTCGTCAGTGTGCCTGAGTAATTGCGAGGGGATTTACGAAGCACATACGGACTGTAGTGCCGTCTACGCGGTCAATGGTACAATCCTCGTCTCCGATATCAGGGCTGTCAGACACTTGGGCATTCACCGCCAGCTCGATAGACTCGGGTACGATCGCATTCTGGTCGCGTGGTGGAGTGGGCGAAGACAGCGAATCGCACGTGCGTTGTAGAGAGACGATATCCAGTGCGAGATTGGGAAAATGGTGTTTGATTATGAATTCCATGCATCGCATGCGGTCCATCAGCTCATTGGACGAGTTGGGAAGGCACGGTCCTCGCTTGTCCACTGCAGCAGGTGCAACATTGTATCTACACGGTCGGCGCAGATGGCGGCAGCGTCTACACGGTGTCCCATCCTCACATTTCTCTTTGAGACGGCGACACTCATCACACCTATGCGATGCCTGTCAGCCAAGACTCTACTTCGCATTCTT